CGCAGGCCCTGAATTAAATTCAAGGCCCTTGAACTTCAAAGCAGTTATATATCTTACAGTGCTTTACCGAACTCGGTGATCTTGTGGCTCATTCTCATCACCAAGCTGCTACTTCATAACCAGTGACTGCATGTTGGCAACATGACGGTACTTGTACATGTGTGTGGCCACCACCTGCAGCACATGCATGGCAACGTTGCCCTCTTCCACAGTGGACTAAGCTGTGTTAGCTTGCATTTACCATGAACTAAGGTCACATATGTGGACCATTTCCATTACTCCAACAATACTGAAATAATTTTTAGGAGAAGATGCTTGATCATGAGTCTAATGAACTGGTCTAACAATGCTGAAAAATTCAGGTGTGCAGAAGTGCTGACAGAGAGACGAGCATCTAAATGTGGCCAGAGGTTATCTAATTGTAGGGTCATTTATTTGGAAATTATGCTATGAAAAACTGGTAATATATTTTAAAGATCTGAACAGTGCCTTTTCAGCTGTAGGACTGTCTGCTCTCTGAAGGAAACAGATCAGGCTAGGGCATGGTGCCCAGAACTGCCTGTGTATTTGTACTGCAAGATCACATTGAGGCCTCAGGAATTAGGGTGTAAGATACTTGTAACAGAAGACCAACTGTGTCTTAAAGACCTATCTGCATAAGTAAAACAAAAAAACCAACAGATGAATAAGGTCAGCAGAGCAAAAGAACAGTCATCCAGAATCCCTACACTTGTAACATTTTCTTTATCCATCCTCTCATTATTTATGAAGGGGTGGAGAGGAAAAAAAAAACCCCAAACTGTAGTATGAAATAGCTCGAAATCCTTCATGCAGAGCAATTCTACACAGGCTGCAGAATTGGATTTGGGCAAAGTGGGCCACTGTCTATATCCTTTTGCAAATTCTTTAGCATTAAGAAACTAACAATTTCCCATCATTAACACAAAATAGCGGAGTTGTAGGTCTGAAGACTGCAGAAGTGTTGGATGGAGCAACACGAATCAAAATGCTGAGTGTTGTGAAAGCTCTACCACCTCTTGCCTCAAAGCAATAACACTGCAATTCTTGCAGAACATGCAGTGTCATAATCAGCCATAACACAAAGAAGGAAGTTCAAAAGCCAAGACTGTAAGGAGCCAAGTGGAAGCAAGTCTATGTCCTGGTGAGGATACAGCTAGATACAAAATACTGGAGCTGATCCATTTGCTTAGCCCTTTTCCAAACAACTGGAGCTCCACAAAAATTATAGTTTTCCCAGAAAACTTAAGGAATTGTGACCTTGTTAATTTGAAGATATTTAAGAGGGAGGAAAATTCATCAAGTTGTTTCTACAAGTTGTCCTTGAAATCATTCGATGGAAAGGCTAGAATTTGCCCTTCTGGACAGACCACACAATGCAAGACCCTATGGATGGATGCCTCAAGCTCCACAAGACATCAGGACCACTTGCACCAAGACCACATATTGCCAAGTTAGACCTGCTATCTCCTTTGCACTGCAAGGGACAACTGTGCTATTTCCACGTGGTGGGGAGGTTTTAACTAAAGGTAATACAGCTTGAGGAGGGAGAAGGGTGGAAGAAAATGTATGCATCCTCACTTCTGTAGCCACTGCCTGCCTAAGCTTTGCTTCCTCGCAGCAAGGAACCTCCTCCAGTAGTGTCCCACCATCCTATGTGAAGAGGATAAATGGCACAGCAGCTCCCATTAATCAGGTGCTCCTGGCCCAAGCCTGAAGGTCCCATGAGGCAACATAAACACTGAAGAAATTTCAGGATGAATCTGTTCTCTGTTGAGTCGGTGCCAAACTGAGTGGGGAGGCACAACTAGTAGTTGTGGGTTTATTCCTGCCTAATGAGGAAGTGATCTCTTTCATCTTTGCTTCAGCTTAGAGCAGTTGTGGACACATCCCATGTGGGCAGTGGAGAAGTGGGGGTATTTCTGTCTCTGTAAATAGCAGGTGGGGCTTAGGCAACATCATCCTTGACACACATGGGCCAGATGGGTTCGTATTTACCATCCACCATGTACGGGTGTGTACTGCACTTGCAGTCTGAGGACTCTTGGGCAGGATCGCTGTGCAAAATCACATTCAGACTGGATTAGTTTGCACACCCTGTTTAATATCTAAAACAACAGATGACAAGAGCTTAGAAACTGTTTGCTAAGTAGTAAAGTGAGACCTGAGTCATGCATAAAATCAGTGTCACCCATATGAGTATGAACCTTTGCAAACTCTGGCAGTAAGATACAGCATTGTCAATGTAGATACCAATAACTTCTGAGAATTGAACTGAAACCTAGTAGAATATAAACTGACTTCCACTCCAGAGGAACCACTGCACTATAATGTGCCAAAACAAATCGAGTGCAGCAGAAATGCAATAGATAATAATTGCTTTTGAGACTAGTTTTCAACACAGCTACATTATGATGAATTTTCATGACAGTACATTGCTAGAAGTTGTGTCCCGTTCTGCTCTAAATGAGAATACGAGTTGGCTGCTTACCAATCTTGTGCTGAGTATGATGCTGAAAGGGGCTCTGACCTCCCTGGCAAATCCTGAGTACGTTTGTGTGACTTAATGTTGACCAGTCAACTCACTGAGGTTTCTGTGCTGCTGGTCTGATGAATAAATTTTCCTTAAGAGTGATATAGCAGAACATTCAGGAAAGATGATCCCTTTTAACTTATTGATTGGGAAAATATAATACAAACAAGAGGCTAATAATAATAAATGGAATTTTAATGGTCTCTAGATAACAAATGTATGCCATTCCCTTCTTTCTGATCTCATGATGGGTTTTGTTTAAACTTCCAGGTGACAGTCCTATATGTTGTTTACTTATTCCAGCTCCACAAGAGCGCTACCTTCAAGGGAATGAGAAAAAATGCAACCTCAGTGCATGCCACAGACATTTTACGTAGCAAGCAGGACAGCACACATCAAAGGATTTACTGTGAAATCATCTTGCAATCAGCATAGGATTGATCTCCATAGACAACCCTTGACAGCAAGCATGCACTTCACAAGCAGTTACACGCCAGTTTTTAAAACTAAGGACAAAAAATCTATACTGGGACTGTTTTTCAGCCTGTTTGCTACGTTTTTTGCATTCTGTCCCATGTTGGTTTTACAGATCTTAGAATAAAAAATGTAAATGAACAACCTGGATACTTTGACAGAGGAAAAAGCCTAGGTATAGAACATCATCTGTGTTCAAGCCACCAAATACTACAAACAGAAACCCTGTTTACAAATCAGTTCTTTTTCATTTTAAATCTTTCTGAGGGGAGTTATGTTATTTACCATATATATGTATAATATATATATAAAATATATAGAGAGATTGTTTATTTGTAAATAGAAAAATCCTATGGAGAAGAATGTCAAATTTTCACACTTAAAAAAAATCATCGACATAAAGCCATGTTTAATGCTTGTATAATGTGATGCAATAAACTTTAAAATAAATTATGCATATGAAATATTTGCTGTGTGGCATTCATGAGTTATTTTCCATTTATCTTATTGTTCAGAGAGCAAACAAACCAGTCAGGTGGAAGCAAATTTAAATGCAAAACACAAAGGGCCAAAATCTGTCACTACTTTCTCTCTGTGGATCCTTTGTGTCAAATATAGTCAAATATTGTTCCTGTTGTGGTTTTTTAGCTCTTTTTTTAATGTTCCTAATGTTATGCCTCTTGACCCTGCCCAATGCTGCACATAACCTGGACAGCATGGAGTGCTCCCACTGCCATGGAATTAATCAGCTTTGAACATCCTGCATTTTTTTGTCAGGTGAGCTTTTAGCTGGGAGAGATGAAGGATCATGGTGCAGGAGTGTGATGGAGACACCAAGAATTATCTTGCTGTTTTTACACAGACATGGCCATGGCTGAGAGTCCAACTAGCAGAGGACAGTATGTAATCCCAGAGAAAATATTACTCAAAATTAATTAATTGTTTTAATTAGTGATGCCAATTAAAATGAGAAGCATATAGAAAAAAGTAGAGCAGAAAGAGTCACTTTGTAGCTCTGCAGTAAGCATGGGAGGTTAGTTAGCAAGAAATCAGTCATAGAATAGTTTAGGTTGGAAGGGACCTTAAAGATCATTGAGTTCCAACTCCCCTGCCATGGACAGGGACACCCTCCACTAGACCAGGTTGCTCAAAGCCTCATCCAGCCTGGCCTTGAACACCTCCAGGGATGGGGCATCCACAGCTTCTCTGGGCAACCTGTTCCACTGTCTCACCACCCTCACAGTGAAAAATTTCTTCCTAATATCTAATCTGAATCTACCCTCTTTCATCTTAAAATGGTTACCCCTCATGCTATCACTGCACTCACTGACAAAGCATGCCTCCCCATCTCACTTGTTGGCCCCCTTTAAAGTAGGGGGATAGTTGCAGGGGTCATCTGCAAAGCTTAAGAATGTTTGTCTCTAAAGCTCTTACAGCAAGATGTTCTCCCCAGTAAAAACTCATCTTGACTTTGTGATTGTGGACCAATAGATATCACCTGGCCCAAACTTTCACTTTATACCAAAATTAAATGACTGCTCAGTGCTCAAGTAGTGACTTCAAGCAATAAGTGAAACTAAGTTGCTCATTTATGTGTTTTCTCTGTTTTGAACAACTATGTGAATTCAAACCACTGAGAGAAAAAATCTGTGGTGCTACATTTTTTCTTAACTATGATAACTGGGAAGA